ACTTTCCCACTGCCTGTCTCGCCTTGAATTCTGGGTTCAATATCCTGAGATCATTACACATAGAGCATCCCTGAGAGAGCACAGCCCTGTGGAACGCCTCTATATGCCCTAAAAGGAGCACAGAGGCTACAGCTTTTTTTTACAGGTTTTTTAGTGGTTGTCCTATTAACCCTGTATGGTTCACTGATTGATTGATTGATTGATTGATTGATTCCCGGGTTTTTAACATCTAACTGATGAATCAGGTTTAAATCATCTGATGAATCTGAAGTTTGAACCAATAAGTAGACCTCAGAGTTCAACCAGCAGCACTGCTCTCTCACTACTTTTATTGCTTTATGTGATTTATTATTAAGGATCCTTCAAAAGTTTTTGGGTTTTATAGACTCATCTGGGAGGAAAAAAGAAAAAAAGTTCTTCTTCCTTATTTTAGTGGTTGGTAAACAGCCTGCAGCTCCGGCCGTAGTGCACACCATGTATGGTATTCCTGCTGAAAGCTGCAGATTCAGGGTAACTCTGGACTTCCTGCTCTTCTTCTTGGAGGGGATGGAGGACATACCTGCAGAGATCAAGATCAGATCAGACTGAACTCACTGAGGAAATGGCTCCTCAATAGTCTCTGAAAGATCTTTTTTTGCACCTCTCTGTGGTTGCTGAGTGTTGTGAGACACACTTCCTGTTTGTGTGACAGGAAGAACAGTTAGAGCGGCGTACAGCGGAGTTCGGACGCTGTGGAGTGCATGAAGAACGATCAGCACAGGTAAGAAACAAAGCTTAGAGTCTGCATGCAGGAATATCAGAGGAACTTCCAACAGTCTGTGGTTTTTGGTCCCTTAAAGGAGGGAGACACAGACTGGACTTCCTGTTTGGGTTTATCACTGAGGGAAGCAGCGTTAGTGTCATGGTGCGGGATGCAATGACGCGCTGCATCTCTGTTAGCAGCCTGAATGGCAGGCAGATCAATCTCAGACATGCTGGTTAGAAGAAAGTCTGCTTCAACGTTTGTGCAACAATTTGGAGAACGAGCAAATCCTGAATGGAGGGAAGGTGGCTTCTGATGTTCCTTTGGAAACCACAGTTCTGCCCTCTTCTAGAGGAGCCCAAAGACACGGAGAAAGATGGTCCCCAAACTGATGGAGACCACGGCCAGCAACTCCCATGGCTGCTGCAGGAAGTAGGAGAACCGCCTCAGAAAGGAAGCGGAAGTGATCTACTGTGAAACCAGCGTGATTCAGAACGAGGAGAGGAGGCGGAGTCCTGCAGAAGGACCGCCTCCAGTCCTCACAGTTACATTTTTTCAGCTCTAAATGTCAGAGGACTGCAAGCTGACAGCCGTTAACTACGGCTAACGCTGCTGCTCTTCTTACTGGGGTCTGAAAAATATTCACTGCAGAGAACCAAAGAAATTATCCTGATGGCGCAAAGTTCATAAAAAAAATAATAATAAAATAAAATAAAAGACATTATAATAGCTAAAAAGTGCTTTTTGTAATAATAAAGCAATACTTTCCACTACTACTGTCAGTGCATCACATGTATCTAGATATAGATCTATAGAAAGTAGAGGGTGTTTCACTTAGAAGAACCGTTTATATTAATAATGAACTTATTGCCTTTATAATAATTTTATTACCAATAATACTCACTTTATCCTCAGTGGCCATGAAAGTGTTATCTGGCATATGCCAGTTTCACCACAGGTCCTAGTGGCCACCCAATGTCTGGTTTTATTCACAATGTTTTTCTGTAGTTATGTAAAATGAATTTTTAAGAATGTGGTTATAGATATGTTTCTGAGAAAACAGAAAACATTGATTCAACCAAATCTTCAGCCACCATCTGCACACTTCTTCTTGTCTGGTTGCCGCCCCCTGCTGGACGTTTGCTTGGTGCCTCAGATCAATAATTATATTTTCTTAAATTTGGATTTAAAATCAAGGGGGAAAAAAAGCCATTGTTAGAACTCTTTATTAAT